TCTGTTGTCAGTTGTTCTTTTGACTGTATTTTTAAAGTGACTGTGACCGAGTTGTGATAATGGCTTAAGCAATGTTTGCATAAAGACGGTGATGTCCAACCAGTTAAATTCAGTTTGATTTTTCTTTATATAGCACCAAATTTAAAAAACAAAACAAAACAGTCAACTCAATACACTTTATATTGCAGTAATAATACATAATGGAAAATCCTTAAAATCAGGTGACCCTGTATGAGCAAGCATAAAAACTTAACAAGAAGATTTCTCCAGAAGCACCAGCCTTAGGGAGGGGGGACAAGGTGCCGAGACCGGTTGGGTGTGAGGGGAAGAAGACGTGCAGTTGAATATACACTGTCAAACTGTAGTGTAGATGATTTTTACATTACTCACTCTTAAATAAACACAGGTGGGTTGTACTGGAAATCTGCACTCTTAGATCTAAAACATTAATTCAACTACAAGTAAAACCACTCGTGTTAAGAGACTTAACCGACTGTTCGTGTTTTAAGTACAGTTTGCTGTGATCAAGCAAACCTAGCTAGTGTTTCGCTTGAAAATTTGAAGTCCAAGTGTAAAATAACTGCTTAAGATTTTAGGTTAACTTAACCTTGTAACTCTTTGGGAGTTGCCCAATATTGTTGCAAAGTAAAACAAAAATCTTTTCTACCTGAGATTTTCCTTTAATCTCTAATTTCCTTGTTTGGTCTCACTGTCAGGTGGGGTGCTCCAATCATGCTGGACTGAGTCACCTATATACATTTGGGTCACAGGTCCTCTCAGCTTAGCCTGGTTGTACTCAGTGGTTCTGTGCTATGGTCTTATCAGGTGAAACACAGTTATTATTTCCACAGGAAGTTTTCTTACACATTTTGCTAAGTCCTGTGCTTTGTTGGAGATTGTTCAAGTAGTTCAATTTTTAGGAACTAACTCATCAATGGAGGCTGACACACGTGGATCTTACTCACAGGTCAGCCTGGGGTTCTCTCATTACTGCGCACACAAGCTAACATAAATGTACGGTGATGCAGTGATATCGCAACATTTTTACACCACATAAAGATTTACACTGGTATTATCGCCTTACCTTTGAGTTTTGCCCAATTCGACCTCAATCTTGCATCTGTGGATGCTGAATTTCCTATTTTCTGCTTTACACTTGTCACCAGCAAATAGTGAAAACAATTTGCTGTTACAGAATCATAAAATTGAAACAAACCTTAAATTTGTACTTAATTTCACTTCATTTAAAGCTCACAATTGTATTGCTTGAAGCCTGGATTTATAATCTATTCTTTTACAGTTGTCTGTGTGTGTCTTTATAACTGGTTAAGCTTATGGTACTTATAATGCAGTGTGTAACACAGAACAGATTTTTTTTTTGTTAAACGCCAATGCAAATGCGGTAAATAAACACAATGTAACATATTATTATCTCCACCTCTTATAATAATTAGATTTTTATATATTCTATGCAATACATATACATCTTATATATTGGAATACTTATAAACATTTATGTTGTCACAAATGCGCTTTAAATGCACTGTAGAGATGACCTTCATTGAAAATGATTATGTGAAATGAATTATTTCCGATGTTTTTTTCTTTTTAATGTTTATTATATTTGCATATTGTTAAATAGACTATAGTAAACATGATATGAAGGGGATATCGATATATATAAAATAAAGAAATGACCTATTTTTAAAAATCTTTTTTACTCTTTATACTCGTGCGTCATTGCACCGGTGTTGTGCAACGGCGTTATAATTAAAACAGTCCATTTTGTCCACTTAAAATATCTTTATAGAACAGTTTTGTTGTACTTGTTACAATTTTTTTGGTCATTGTCATCTACCCATGTTTACCCCAATAACAAGTCTTACCATATTCCACGCCGCTAAGAAGAAAAATAAGTCCGATGGTGATATATGTCAGCTTCTTTTCCCGTCTGCTATCCATTACGTCTCACTGCTGAATTCTTCTCTCTGTAAGACTTTAAACATACATGTCCCTTCTCGTCTCCCTACCAAACACAGCCGACAAAACTCCGAGAGCAGTGCTTCCAATTACAGAAAACAGCTGCAGAATGCTTCAAGAGCATACTGTTCCTACTACCCGAACAGCGTTTGCAAGGCTAATATCACTTATCACTACGCGTTATCTCATATCGTATGGAAAACTCGTGTTTTCGTCGTGATTAAAGTCCATACATATATAAAATGTCTGTAATTAAACCAGCCGGGTAAATGCTCCGCAATGATTGATGCTAGCCGTAGCTTACTAAACGCTCGCCCTCAAACTGCCAAAAACGAGGCAGAGGAGAAACAACCAATCACAGCAGCGCGCAGTTTAAAGCCATCCTACACAACTTCCGGTTGCCCGCACCTTGACAGTCGCAACCGCTGAAACTTCAACTGCTTTCATAGATTGAATAATATACGCACACATTAGAGTATAAGTTTTTTTCCTTCTTCTTTCTGTTGCAAGACCATTTAACAAGATACATGATGGTAGTGCTGTGCGATACTGCAAATTTTGCTATCGATCTGATACAAAGAACTGCACTTCTTGCTTATATGTGCTTTATTAGACAAGCGTCACTATTGCAAAAAATAAAACCCTTTGAACCCCTTGGACTGAATCTGGATATTCGCTAATGAGTGTGGATTCAATCATGCTGATTAATGCAGTTTAGGAATAGGAGAGAGCATAGGCAGGGTGAAGTGGGTGGAGATGAGTGTCAGGGGTGATTTGTGACAGGAGGCTAGCAGCAAGGGAGAAAAAGAAGGTTTATAAGACGAGAGTGAGACCTGCTATGATGTATAATTTGGACAGTAAGACTAGAAAGTGAGTGTATCAGAGGGAGAGAGAGAGAGAGAGCTCACGTCAAGTGTTTTGGAGATAAAGTTGGAGAGCCAAGGGATGATGATGAGGAATAGTGGATTTGTTGGACAAAGGATGTTGAAAACGGAGATACCAAGCAGGAGGAAAAGCAGAAGACCTCGGAGAAGTTACATCGTTTCTTTATTGCATCACTAAACTCTAGTCTGAGTTAGACAAAAATGTTCCCCATCTTGTGACTTCCATTAGAAGAAAAA